TGATTGGTATGGGTTTGCATCTATGTTAATGGATCTATGATTTCTGATTGAGGTATAGATCTTCGTGATTTGAGCTGATGCTGTTTTGATTTTATAATCGAAAGGGGTAATTTTGTATTGCGCTTAATCGAAATGGGTCTCTTTGTTCTGATTTTTTCATGTTCAGGTTATATTATTAAGATGGATTCTACGTTTGTTTGGATAAAAAATCTGGAGTTTTAGCTGCTCTGTTATGTCTCTCTTGCTGGATTGGTTCCAGCTTTCTTGCAGCTCGATTAGGACATTCCTTAACCTTAAAGGTGAGTCCTTTTGATCCAATCGTTTCAAAGATTTCATCTTTCTGTGGAATTTATGCTCGATTTCTTCGTTTAAAGGATTCTAAATTGGCGTTTTTTATGTCGTGATCTATTTATTCATTTGATGTGTTTTGTTGTTGGTAATGTGTTTTGTTGTTGGTTCATATTTCTGTTTTATTCATGTTCTTGGTAATGTGTTTTGTTGTTGGTTCACATTTCTGTTTTATTCATGTGAGCTTGATTCCTGTTTTTGGTAGGACAACTTCCATAGCAAGGCTTCTTCCATTTGCAGCTTCTCCTCTGCCCAGATGATCTCATCTAAGGTAATTCCATGAAACCTGAATGTATTTTTTCATGTTCTGATATTCAGACTTACATTCACAAAATCTTTGCATCAGATTCTCAAAAGGATTCTAAATTGTCATGTACCCCTTGCTTCTGAACCAAAACCAATGACTATTGACAATCAGGTAAGATCATGAAAATCATATCAGGCGTCTGTAGGTTTTGTTTGCACTTCTTATTATTATTAATGTTTATGTTTAACTTAACCTCCTGTTGTGTAGGCTTTTGGATCAGGTAGAGCGAGGAGAGATGCAGCAACACGTGCTATGCAAGGTTGGCATTAACAGCGCGCTTATGGTAACAGTGAAGTTAGTGACCCTGCAATGAAGGTCCGGCAGAATTCTGTGATCAGATTTTGCCTTTTTATTGATTTTGTTTAACATATTTCCACCAGCAATTTGCCGTCCACTTAATTGGTGCATCAATAATTGATCTTTCATTTAGTTACTTAACAATGATTAATTGATGAATTCTATATACTTGAGATCAATTGGCGAAATTTGGTTTTAAGCAGAAAAAGATGAGGAATTTGCTTAACTAGGATTGAGTTCGCACCCCAAATATTAATATCTTTGGTAATTTACCTGCAAATATATATTTTCCCATATGTTCTTTTATGTTTGGATTATCCATATATTGTTCTACTCCAAATAGAGGATATTTAGTACTCAAATGATTTGAGGATCAATAGCATTTACCAAATATCAAGATATGCCTTTTCCTGCCTATATATGTATTTTTCTGGTGATTTGGTTGGTCTGTTTTTTCTTTTTGTTATTTGGTCAATGGATAGTTTGTGTTTTTAGTAGGAGTTTTAATGTATTGATAATACTTTTTTCTGAATTTGTTAAGCTCTAACATGGATTGCAACTTTGATAATTAGAATTTTCCTTCAAAGTTCGTTTGGGATTCGTTGTCATGTGAATAGCAATCTTCTCCGGGTGTGTTAAAATTTGGCGGGTATATGGGACATAACTCGGATTGTATTGTGGCGATGATGTATGTTGTATCATGGTTGGGGGTTCAAGTCGTTTTTGCGTAGGTTAATTTTTATTGTTTTTTTCAGTGTTGTATTTTATTTTCGGTGTTATTGCTTACAAATAATGTGCGTCTCCGTTTGCTCTTTGGACAACTACTTGTGCTTTGGTGTAGGTCTATGTGTTGTGTTAGCCGGGAGCTATCTTCTTTAAAAGGAGAAATTTGTTCAGGAGTTCGAGACTGGCTATTCACTTTCACGTGACGATGAAGATGGTGTTTATTTAGAAAATGGTGGAGGTTAACTTATTAGTGGTTGTTGGTGAAGATCTATCTAGAAGATGATGTTTTTTTTGTCTTGCATTTTAGTCCTGTGTTATTAAATTTTATTTTTTATAATTTGTATGTTTCGTTCATGTCTCCGAATCGTTTTTGCCTTATATGAATTAAGGCTTGAGTATGAAACCTTGCATATTAAAATTCAAAAGACTGCATCTGCATTAGCAAGTCGGATTTTCTTAATCTATCTTAGAACGAAACATATTGATCTAGATGG